CTGCTGAAGTCAGCAGTGGTTTCAGAGCTTTTGGCAGACTTTTCTTACCACTGCTCCTGATGTGATGGGGACTTTGGTCCTCACAGAAGGAGGCTATCTTCTCATTAGGTGAAAACCAGCAGCAACTATAGCGAACCTGCAAGCAAACTGACTCTTTCGCCTTTACCACTGGCTTCTACGCTGATTATTGCAAAAACTGCATAGGATCTATTTTCCCAGCCAGAAAAGCACCAAAGGAAAATCACTGATGGTTCAGCTGCCAGGGAAAGCTTCCATTGTTCATAATATTTTCAGGACACACTGTTTTCAGTTGGAAAGCCAGTGTAGGTTGTTCATTTTGTTTTATCCTGTTCTATTGTTTTAACCCTCTTTGATGGAAAAGCAATTGAACTGTCCCCCAAATGTATGGAAATCCTGGCCAAGGTGAAAATGCCAAGTGGCTTACTGTTTCAATGAAAGCAGATAATTTTAAGCTTTCTTTCCCTTTGAGCTCAATTGCTTCACTTTTCTATCGAGGCTCTATGGAACATTAGCTTCCACAAAGGTCTTTTTTTTAGCTAATACATATGTATAAAAGCAAGCCCTATTGTGGCACTCCAGATCTGTATGGTTGTATTAGAAAATGAACATTCTGGTTGTATTGGAAGATTGTATACGCTGACATCCCGCACAGAACAGATTACTACTGATTATGAGCAATAGCGTGCCCTCAGGAATCTAAGTCCTGCACAGCAGTAACCACAGAGGCTCAGGAAAATTACCTGCTATTGGGAAGTCCTGGGTATAAGGCCTTCCTGTAAATAGTAACCCATTGCTCCTAGTTCTGGGTTTATCCCACTGATGCTTGCTGCAGAGGAAACATGTTTTTTTGTACCCAGAGGCAACAGGTTTTTAAATCTGTGACACATCAGAAGTAAGATAAGTTCCACTTCCAAATGTTGTCCTTGAGGATAAAAGCTGTTGTGTTTCTACTGCAGGGCAGATATCAGTGCAGTACAAGGCAAAACCATGACAGGGATGATAGACTGTGGAAGTTGTGGGATGCTTTTCAATGTCCTGTGGAACCCTACAAAACCTTTTTCAAATTCAGATGCCTGATAAAGCTAACACCCATGTTAGGAAGGGAACTACTCCCCACCACAGCTCTCCTGGTGGCAACAGAATTACACCAGGAATGCATGTGAATGAGGGTTTTTTGTTTTAGTTCTAAGAAACTGGATTTACACAATAAGCAAAGAGAGATTAGATGTTAGATTCCTCCTGAAACTCCTTTTGCTGGTTTGAAGACTGGCATTGCTCCAGACAGCACAGCTGATGAAGGCAGTTTCTATAGTATGGATACTATAGAAATAAAAGCTTCTTTGAGACAATTCATCAGTAGGAGATAGCTTGTGTTTGAGAGGTACTCTCCTGATCTCACATAGCATATGTCTCTGTGGAGCTGAGAAAGGCTGTCAGGGAAGATCTCCTTTTCCAAAAGACATGCTTGAGCCTGGCTTCTCAAGCAGATCTTTCTGTCATTCACAGACCCAGCCTTTCAAAGCTCTACAGCTTTTTATAAGAACAGAAAGAACAGCCAGTAATTCTAATGTCAATAAAAGTGCTTTTTCTTTCAGTCTCCTGGGTACTTTTTTCCTTTTATCATGAGCACATTCTGATGGCAAGGTCAGCCTGTCACCATGGTGGTGGTGCTGGGGTGGTTAAATGCCCTAGCAGCCTGATGCCACTAAATAAATAAATATATTACCTTTCACTGGAAATCTCCCTGTTGCTTCAGTCATGTCTGGTTGCAGCCTGCCTAGTGCAGTCTCTGCCCTCTGGGAAAAAATGTGTTTATAGCAAGGCAATGGGGACTGATGGCCACTAGGTGATTTTAGCAAGCTGGTAAAAATGAAGACTTGTCTGCAATAGATGAAACTCAACAATTGAACAAAAAACTTGTCTAGCCATTTCAACTGTAAAAACAAAATCCAGAGGGCAGATGACTGCTCAAAAGTCCGGGCCTAATCTTCAACTAGAGTAAATTAGGATAGCATGACTATCATTATTAATGCTTACTGAAAGTCACTACTACTAGATAAGGAACTTACTCGAAAAGCTCAGCCGACTTCCTACATGAATTACCTCTACTCTTGAACACTGGGCCATATTCTGATGCTTTTAGTCATGTTCCAATAAAGGAAAATACTCATTTGAATAAATTTTTGCTTACATTTTATATGTTCCAGCATGAATATTGGCCTATGGGAGGTTTAAATGAAGGCTCAGTAAGAAGAAGTGGACTTAATACTTCTTGAAACCAGGAAGGCTGGTTTCTCTCTCTGCATGAGTGTGTGATACAGTTACAAAACAAACCAGAAAGGCGTCCAAGCCTCAGAATTAAAGGTAGATCTGAATTTACCCGTAACTGAGGAATTTGCAGCTCTACAAGTTTGAAGCAAACATTTTACAAAAGCAGAAAGCACTGGCAGAATTTGTATCTCACTCCAGAATTTAAAATACAATGACCAACCAGGAAAATGAATGGCTGTAAGGAGCCTATCCATCTCTTCGAGATGAAAAGCAGTCTGAGTGAGGCCTTGAGGATCTTAACTGTCCTTGGGTAACGGGTAAAAAAACCCATCTCAATAACAGACTTCAATTCCCCTACTATACATCACTCATTTTCAAATGAAGTGGAAAGTGGCAAGGAAACTGTTTATCTCCATGAATCCTACGTGTCCTGCTCTGGTGAAACTTAGGGCCTTGTTTTAACATTTACAACATGGGAAGAAGAAATGAAGCTCTATCTTCCTGTCATTTTCCTATGTCTTCTTCCCTAAAATGTGTTGGACATAGCCGTCACTTCTCCTAATGCCAGGAGTATAGTGATAGCAGTGCCAGACTGCAGTACTGCCACTCTCCTGTGGGCACATTGGGCTATTTTAAGTAAATTCCATTCTAAGTCACAATTACGTTTAGAGTTGGGTTTAACTTCAGCTCTCCTGGCCACATTCCAGCTAAGATAATTATGTTCTGCTTGCCAAAATTCCCCATGCAGTTTCAGTGCAAAACAAGCTATCCCTCATACATCTCCTTATACACTTGTGCCCTTTGTTTTTAAACACCTGTCACATTTTACCCTGAAGGTGGCTGAACTCTAATGCTGTGAAAACAATCCCTGCATTTACAGTTCATAAAGTGCTTTAGGATCCTTTGGGATTAAAGACATTAAATTAATGCAATCTGTAATATTAAAAATATATGCAACTTTATAGTAACAGCTGCCATTGTTGTTGGCACTGTGTAGCACCAGGGGACCCATTGTGTTGGGAAGCATAACTGCAGAACAGAGGTGGTTCTCCAAATTGGATCCAGCTGGAAGAAGTGGTCACATATATCCAGCTGCTCCTTCCTGTAATGCAACAAGAGCACAAGCAACTTGGTGGGGTGCTAAAGGGAGGGCTACAACTGCCTCAGTGCTGTGAATAGATCTAGCCTGGTTCCTTCAGAAAAGAGTTCATAATCTAAACTAAAATGCCAGACTCGGCAGGTAGGCAACAGCAGGCAGGTGAAGGAAAGCTATCACAAATAATTTCTCCTTGGGTTTGTAAGTCGCTGGCTGACACTTACAGGAAAGCAGATTGAATTTACAACATATTCCACATATTACATCTTGTCATGCAGATAAGACCTCCTCCTCTTCGGTTTGTAGAGGAGAGGGCCAAGGGTGTGTGTGGGAGATACAATCAAGGTTTACGAAGTCATGAAAGTGATAGATAAGCTGAATGAGGAACTCTTGATCACCAAATCTCACAGTATTAGAAGGAGAGGGCATTGACTGAAAGTAGTAGTAGATCAGCTTAAAACAGATACAAGAAAGTACTTGTCTACACAGCAGGCAGTGAACTTCTGAAACCTGTTGCCACAGGAGACTATGAGGGCAGACAGCCTCAGTGGGTTCAGATAAATCCATGGACGACGGGTCCATAAATGGGCACCAAAGGCAAAAAGCACAAGTGTGGCCTCTAACATCTCTAACCCAATAATCATAAATTTGGGGGCAGTAAAAGGGGACTGGAAAGTAGGAAATGGCCAGGCTTGCACACTTGCCCTCCTGTCACTGTCAGGACTTGAACACTGGGCCAGCTGAACCACAGGTCTGACAACTAGAGCATTTTGTGTGTACTTAAGATCAGCATTTGACCAACACTGAAGGGCTCAAGGTATGCCCAAGGACAGGACAGAGCCTCAAAATACTGCAGCATGGTACAATGTGTAGCACTGATATGCTTAGCCCATTTTTCAAGGAAATTTGGAGGGACTAACATATTCCGCCACAGCATAAAGTCCATTCTTGTTCAGGTCACGCAAAAAGGAAGAAAGGACCCCCCCTTGCCTATTCTTGCTCTCTGTGATGCTAAAAAATACACTATATAATATGATGCTATCTCACACATTCTTGAGCATCTCCATTAATACAATGGTGCAATTTCAAGGAGACATTACTCCCTCCCAACTGATGCATTTCTTTGTCACTACAGTATTGTGTTCAGCATTTAAAGGGTGTAATTCGGGCTGCAGGATGGGAGTTATCATCCATGTATTTCTATTACAAGACACCGAAAGCATACAAGAATCATTAAAGAAATTAAAATAGACCAGTCATTTCCACTCTTTGGTCTACATATACTGGATTTGATTATCTATCACCAAAGAGGAATTTAAAAATAAGAACACCATTATCCATCAGTTCTTCTTTTAGCTATTACGCAAAACCAGATCTGCTTATCCTGGGCATTCTGTGCTTTATTTACATCTATGTAAATCCAGAGGCTCTCCACTAATGTCCAGAGTGAATTTACACTGCAATTAAGATAAGAACCAGGATCAATATATCTTATGCACTCTCTCCTTTCACCCATTGTGGGGTTGTCTTCCCCTTAAAAAGCCTGGCATTTGCCCTGGCTTTAACGCACCAAGCTCAATCCAACCCCTAAATACACATATCTGTATACATGTACTCACGCTAGCCTAGCACCGCAGTTTTCTCCTTCAATATCTGCTCCAGGGACGTTGTCTGTGTTCACGGACTCGGTCTCACTGGTGGGCATGCTCACTGTAAGAGTCAAAGGGAAGAAAAAGAGAAGGTTGGCCATTAGAACCTGGCACATCTATTAATGAATCACATGAGCGAAGGAACTGGCTTAATGAAAAGACCCTCAGCTGCAGCTCCTGAGGATTAAGCAATATGCCGAGCAAGTCTAGTGCCTCCCTGCACAGGCCAGGCTGGGCAGGTAGGCTTCAGGAACATACACAGGTTACTCAAATGCTAAAGAAAAGGGAAGAAGCAGCACTGTCTTTCTTTCAGAGTCAGTTCCTGGAAATTTTATGAATGAGAACCATTGAAAATTAGAGAACCTGGCAAAGCCAACAAAGAAGCTTTTGCTTGATTCAATGGAACACTTAAAAAAATGCCCCTTTACTTGCACCAGCCCAACCATCTCACTGCCCTCCCCAATCTCTTGTGCAATGAGTAGAGTGCAAATAAAAAGTACCAGATTGACAGGTATTCATACAAATGGCTTCTGTTAGCCTGATAGCAAGTACCACATAAATAATACTGATGGCTCATCTGTCATATACTAACTATTAATGTGTTTCAACCTTACACTTATAAACTAGACCTACAGGGATAAGAGGGGAACTCAGACTCTCTGACCCATTCAGATATTACTAACAAAGGAACTAATGAACATAGACCATGGTGGAGATTTTATGTTGACGCCCACCAAATGAGAACTGGACAGAATCTCACAGGCTTTTAGAGAAGTATCATGGAACAAACATCAAATGAAAGCAACCTCAGGTGTGAACCTATCTCACCTGGATCCAAGGACCTGTCACATCTTCTATCTGCTAGCAAACCTCAATATTTTATTTGCTTCTACAGATCACAAAAAAAAAAATAAATCACAATTTCCATTCCACCAGTTGCTCCCAGCTCCTATATGAGCTCTAATAACTCCTTAATATATAATCATTCAACATAAGTTAGGACAGTGGATAGATCCAACATGTGCCCTCTTCCCTCCTCCCCCCTTTTCAAATACACAAAACAAATGAAAAAATGATACTTAAAACTGAATGATGGAGGAGTTAAACAGATCTCTCAGATGCGTGGTAGAACTTCAGAACATGACCTGTATTAGTAGTTGGATATATATCTCAGATGAGACTTGAAAGCATGCACTATTAGCTGTTGGACAGGCTTCTAACAGCCTGTAAGAATATATTACTCAATACTAAGAACATAACTATTTGTGGATCCTTGGTACAAAAAGAGGCCATGTAGAATAAATAGGTTCTGCATTTCAACTGGGCAGATGCTTAAGGGGCCATGGGACCAGATCTTCTTTCAGAGGCTAGAAAGATATCGGAAGGTTCTTCCAAAGAGGTCCTGGGTTCCTGCTTTGAAAGCATTATGGTAGAAACGTCCCTCAAAGTGAACTATCTTTCCTTCATCCCATCCCAACAATTCACATGCCTACAACATATGTCTTGGGAAATCTAAAGTTCTTCTGCTGTGTTCTTAGGACCATATAAAATAATGGACTCTCTAGTACTCTTGACATAACTATAAAATATTGTACTCTAATGGTGTCTGTTGCTTTACAAAGACTAGATGTTTTAATAATCTTGTCTGTTTGGAAAGACAAATAAAGGAGTCAACTGAATTCATATTTTGATGCACATGAAACAGTAAAGTAAGCTGTAAGAAAAAACAACATTCATAATTAAAATTTTTCGTCCAGACTAAGCCCTTCAGGAAAAAACCAAAACGTTGATATTTCGCAAGTCATCTTTGAAGATGAGGTAAAGCACTTTCAAGACATATTTGAGCTTATTTGCAAATGGAAAACAATTTTGAAGACATTAGCACGAGATTGATTTGCAGAGCAGCTTATTATCTTGAGTGCATGAAGAGGACACTGCACAAGCAATAGAAAAAGCAAGGCACGCACATGCAGGAGTATACAAAGCTATATTATATGTCAGTCTGTATAGAGATATATAGACACACACACACACAGATATATGCAGTGTGGACACCGAGTGCAGTGGAACATTACCATGGGTTTCTGTGGAGTGACTAAACCAAGCAAATTTTCCTTTCTTCTTATCAGGCAAGCCAGCTGGAGTGCTTCCTTTCACAGACAAGATGGTCAGTGTCAAGTACCAGGAACAAGACATCAATAGAGAACATGCAGCCAGTGACAGGCAAAAGAAAAAAACAAGGAACTCAGCTTACACATGACATCCACGTCTATCTGAAAACTTCATCATGTGAATTAAAAGTACAAAATTAAAAACAAAGGTATATGGAAGTATGAAATATTATAACAGATCATCAGCGGATAATTCTTCCTTGCTTTCTGCTCTTTTTTATACCTGACTTTTGAGAACATGAAGTTGTTCAATTCAAGTTTATGGGTAAAATCCTTTCTCCAGTGATATCAATGGCAAAATTAATCTGGTTTGACTGTTAGACCTATTGAAATTGATGAGACTAAGGCAATCGCATTTTGTCCCCAGGCTATCTCCTGATCCTTAGGGTCAGAATCTGGACTAGCCAATTTTTGAATGAGGTTCCTTGGCTTTCTTCCTAAACTGCTCCAATATCTAGGAACTCTTTCAAAACTGCCAGGGCTGGTAAAGGAATGTTGTTGGGGTAGTCGCATTTCTCTGTCTTTTTCCATCTCTAGAGATTAACAACCTTCATCAAGCACTCAGATGTACACTGCCTTACCCAAACTAGGATACCCCTAGACTATGCCTCATGATTTCTATTTGAGTTTACATCTGGCACTCGCCCTCTGATGTCCTCCTGCTGGATGGCTTTTCATGGCATTGGTTAATGTTGATCCTCTGCCTACTGTGCGCAAAGATCCTCAGTCCACACAGATCAGATGCGCATGCACAGAGAAGTCTTAGAGCGTACTTCACACTTCCCTAATCTTACTGCTGCAGAAAGCCAAATTAAAGTGAGGAGTGCAGGTGCAGTGGCACACGGGCTGAAGCGACTCCTGTGGTTCAGGCTAGCGTGCTGCCACGAGCTCACAGGCATTCATTACACTGCACTGATGGAAAACGTTAAGGACAATAAAAAGTATTAAGATGGTATCAAGTATAAGAGGAATGATAGCCTAGAAGTTAAAGGTCAGGACAGACAGGAGATTAGGACTGTATTCCCCAACGTGGTATGCTCTCAGCAGGGCAATCGCTTATTTTACATGGCACCTCACATCACCTTCAATATCAGGGGATAATCATGTGTGCAGATGCTGTGAGGTTCGTTCAGGCCAGTTAACGAAACCTGAAAATAGAAGATGCTGCAGGAGAGATGTATATAAACTGGGGCTGAATATGAGAGGAAGTAAATCAAATACTGCCCAGATGGCTTTCTTATCTGACTCAGTTCTCAGAGACACAGACCTTGTGCCCACACCCCGGCTCCAGTCTAGAAACAAGGCAGGCATTTTTTGCAGTCTGGGTAATTAATTACTGGAACCATGTACCAAGAATGCTGGTGGTAAATCCACCACAGGAATGTTTTAATCAGGAAGAGATGTTTTTTCTAAATGGTGGGCTCTAGTCCAGACCAGAGTTATGTTTAGGACCATGGTATACAGACTATGCCATCTCATTGACCACTTCCTCCTTGAAATTTTGGGAGCTGAGACAAAGGCAAAAAAGAGGCAAATGCAGATTTGCTCCCACATGGGCACAGAGCAACTTAGCAGTGGAAATCCTGGTGCCTCACCTCCTATGCCATGTGTGGTTCTCTGTCAACTTCAAGAAGTCCACTGCTTGTAACCAAATCAGCGATCACCAGGGGGCTTGGTTCTGCCAGAAGTAGAGGGCACATTGTCTCTCTGTGGGGTCCCCACCTCCCGCCTTCAAGCAGACCATTTAATCTTCCATCTACCACATACTTTGCGTTGAAGGTGCTTCAGTGTCCAAACTGCAGCATGGGCAAGGCAGTGATCAATCCCTGTGCGTACTATTCAACTGCCTACCTAACACCCTCAGGTATTAGGGTTAAGCAACTAAATACTGATGTATATAGGCTCACTTCAACCAAACGAGTACAGTGAACCACTAACAACAACACAGGGATAGGTCTCATAGAAGATACTACATATTTCAGAGAATCACAGAATGGTTTGGGTTGGAAGGGACCTTTAAAGATCATCTAGTCCACCCCTCCTGCCATGGGCAAGGACATCTGCCACTAGATCAGGTTGCTCAAAGCCCCGTCCAACACGAAGAACGCTTCCAATGAAGGGGCATCCACAACTCTGGGCAACCTGTTCCAGTGTACCTGTTCCTGGGGCCAATCATGGTGGCTTTGCTTACATGGCAACATCTCTTTTTGGATTTATCATCACAGCCATAATTCACTCTGGTTGATGAAATCTCCCATTAGTTACATATTCTCTAGATAGCATAGCATTTTTTTTTTAAAGGGAGGTGAAATAACTTTTTAAAGGCATGCAAGTATTTCACGGTTTCAACAGAGTGCAAACCCTAAGGACCAGTAGGTTTTATACTCTCTCTACAGTTTCTTCTGAAACCTTTGCACTTTGCACTTCTTGTGTCTTGCCACAGTGTGGCTCGTCTCTGAACGTAGACTTTTCCTCCTTGACTACCTAAACTCCAGTTTCACATTACTTACATAGCATTCCTGCAGCAGCTAAAGCAACAACAGCAGCTATGTAGCAGCTTCCTTAAAAATAAATCTGAGAAATTCTTCATGTTATGTTAATTCTATCTCTGAGACCCAACAGACAGAAATAAGGACAAAGAGTCTGCAGTCTGTGACTGGCTAGACAGACAGATGTGCAAGACCCTTTGAGGGCCTCTGTTCCATGTCACTGGCATCAAGCATTGACACCCGCTCTACTCTTGCACTAACATATGTCCCTCCTGCAACAAAATGCCCCACGGACATACAATGCATTATTAGATGGCAGGTTGCCAAAAGACAGCCAACCAGTGAAACAGAAAGCTGGCACAAGCAAATATCCTTCTGTGTAGCCCTGAGATAATTTTCCC